TCGGGTAGGGGGTCCTGAACTGTGCGTCTAGGATCGATGGTAACAGGAGACGGGGGACGCAATGTTTTACCCAGGTTCGGGCCCTCTCTATGGAGGTAATACCCTACATCCTGCTTGATTGATCTTGATGAATATGAGTGTTTCAAGAGTTGATCTACCACGAGATCGTAATGACTAAACACTAAAAGTCTAGTCTGGCTATGATAATGATTCTCCCCTCCGGACTAAGTCCTCCGGTTTATATAGACACTAATGGGATCTAGGGTTACATAAGGTCAGGTACAAAGAAAGGAATCTACTTGTTTGATCGCTAAGCTTGCCTTCCACGCCAAGGAGAGTCCCATCCGGACACGGGTGCAGTCTTCGGTCTTCGTATCTTCACGGCCCATCAGTCCGGCCCATGGCTAACAAGTCGGACGCCCGAGGACTCCTTAGTCCAGGACTCCCTCAGTAGCCCCCAAAGCAGTCTTCAATGACAAGGTGTTCGACGCATAGATTGTCTTCGGCATTGCAAGGTGAGTTCCTCCACTAGTGACTTCCAAGTAGTGTGTTCGGCCTTCCATTTAATGGTGTACCCCTCGGCTTCTGCGCATCGACAACTTCAGCTTCCATGTGTCGAGCGAATGCGAGAGGTCAGGGTATTTTTGCACATACCACCCTGACCATACCAGAAAGGTGCCTATGTAAAGATAATAGATCTCAGATCCCCTCCAAATCTCATGGAAGAAACCCTCAGAGCTTGTGGAGCAGAACCGCCCCAACATGTCTAGCGCTCCTAGCTCTTCCTCTCGTCCCCACAACTCCAAAAAGGGGGATTGGGAGAGATGTTCAGTTTCTCACAGTCAGCTGGTGAAGCTGCAAACACAGGGCTTTCTCCCCCCCCCCACGGATTTGGTCCCCATACGAGCAGGGATGACGTACTTCAAGGGCGGGGCTCAAGCGGAGAACTTCGGAGAACGAATATGCTTCGTCTCGTTCTTGTTAAGAGGTGTCGTATTTCCGATCCATCCCTTCCTCTAAGGTCTGCTGGAGTATTATGGCCTTCAACTGCATAGTCTCACTCCCGCCTCTATCCTTCATGTTGCAGGCTATGTCGCTCTATGCGAGCTATTCCTGGGTTGTGAGGCCCATTTTGATTTATGGAGAAGATTGTTCTAGGGACATCCCTCGTAATCAAGGTGGGCCAATTTTTAAAGTGGGAGGGGCCGAAGTGTGGCACATCGCCGGGACCAGATACCTGTCTGGCATGCCGAAGAAAGCTTCCTAAGACTGGCCTTCTGAATGGTTTTACATCGACGACGTCGCTCTTCCCGACCCCGTTCGTATGGGCCTCCTCGAGTTTTCAAGTGCTCCATTGAAGAAACGCCATGGCTGGCGTCCTTGGAGCCTCGAGGAAGAGGATAGTGCAGAGATCAGCCCGCTGCTGGGCAAGATTAAGATGCTTGCTCAGTCCGGATTGTCAATAGTCGAGGTAATGACGATCTCCATAACACGGGGGGTCCAGCCACTCCAATACAGAGGGTTGCCCATGTGGAATTATAACGGGGAAGACGATGCCTCACGCTACGGGCGGAAGGGCCCAAAGACCCCCGCCGCTCTAGCCAAAATATTGGTCGAACTGTATAAAGGGGAGAAGGAGGAGTTCACCCATCTCCAATATCGAGGCGGGTTTTCCATGTATAATCCTCCTAGCTGGGTAAGCTCTAACTCCACTATTTTACTCCTATCCCTGAATCATTCTTGACAGGCAGTATCTTATCCGCTTGTAGCAGGAATGGAGAAAGGTTGTCGAGGGGATCCACAACCCTACCCCTCAGCAGGAGAATCGCAACCGGGATCATGACCCCGGATATAAGGAAGATCCGGACATATTTGTGGAGCTCGAGGATGGAATATTCTATCAGATGAGGTATGACGGTACGGATGTACCCATCATCGCCGATTACCCCGGTCTCCTTCCTGCTTCACATGTAAGTAATCCGGAGATACCTTGTCCAAGAGAGTTTTCTCATTCCTCCTCACCCACCGCACTGTCCTGTGCTCAAAAGGGGAGGCGTTCGGCGCGCCATGCTGCCCCGGGGGCATCTCCAAAGAGATCAGCCCCCACATCGGGCGAGCCTTCGAAGAGGAAGGCAAACAAAGATACGGCCGATCTTTCATCAAAGAGGTATGGATTTGCAAATATGCACCTTGGCAGTCACATCAAACTGTGACCTTTCCGTTTACCATGTATCAGGAAAAAGGTGTGCCGGGCTATACCCGGGGGTCCAACCGGTCATACCTCCCGCAGCCAGGATCCAGATCCTGTCGTAAAGACGGGGGCTGATGCGGGGGTAACGCCGGACTATCCTCCAGCCGATGACTCGGATGATGTATCCGTCACCAACTCGGAAGTGGAGAGCGCCATGAATCATCGGCGCCGCAGGGCCGTTTCACAAGAGCCTGGTTTTTCAAAAGAGGCATTTAACGCCTTCAGCTCGGCTGGTGCATATATCTGAGCTGCTCGAGATGGGCTTAACAGAGCCACAAAGCAGCAATTAGAAGATGTGCGGGTAAGTTTACTTTGTCTGAATATGATGACCATATGCTAGTAGCCCCTGAGACTTGAAGCAGTTGGTACAAACGATTTAAGGATCGTTGTATAACTAGGTTCTTACGGAGAAGAACGACCTACTAGCCCAAGAGCTAGAAAAGTGACGGACACAGCTAACTGTTGCTACCGCCGAAATGGAAAAGCTCAAGAAGGCGTCCTCTGGTAATATTTCCCTCCATCAAGAAACAATGATTATATGACAGCTGTGCTAATACTGCTGCATGTCTTATAACAGGGTCGTCGGACCAGCTGGAAGAGAAACTGAAGGCCGCTCAAACGGACAAGAAAGAGGCGAAAAGACTGCACGCCGCAGGCGAGCGCGTTCTGACCCGAGTCAGAGAGGATAAAAACAAACTCCAGGATTCCAACATCCATCTGGGCGAGGAACTGAAAGATGTGCGGGCCCAACTGGCCGACTCCGTGAAGGAGAATAAAAGGCTCCGAGGCAGCATATTCAGTATGTGGCCGGACTTACCTTATAATAGTTCGGAGATGAAAGGTACTGACAAAGTTATGTTTGTAGGTATGCTGACAGGCCGTCCCGAAGAGGAGGTGTTCGGATCATCAGATGATCTGCTGCAGGGGCTATCACAAATGCACGAGCAAGCTCGGCAGGTAATCCAGAGTGTTGCTAAGGCCTTATGTCCATCCGCCTCCCCTCCAGGAAGTGACGAGCTTGTAGAGATACTCAAGGGAGCGCGGCGACGTATCTGATTATGGAAGATATCGGTCTGCCGAGAGGGTGCGCGAGAGGCCTGGGCCATGGTGAAAACATGGTATACCAAGCTTGATCCGAATCACATGGCCCGGGTCGGACCTTTAGGGTCAGATAGGAAAGAAGTGCCCGTTAATTTGGTATATGACCAAGTAGCAGTAGCTGCCAAATATTCCCAACAGGATTGTAAGTTGGATAGCCTGTTGGATGGTATAGAGGAGGAAATTTATGAGTCTCAGTGACTATGTACTTTCCTTGACATATGTAAATTCTAGCTGAATTGTAAAACGATTGTCATGGCATACCTTTTCGCTTCAACCTCGGGACCTGTCGTGGAATTGTCACGGCAGATGTCCTAGTGTGAGGACTTGGTTGTGAGGCCAACGCATCTTTGTAGTAGCTTGAGAGGGGTTTGAGCAGATTCAAAAGACGCAACACAAGACAAGGATTTAGACAGCTTCGAGCCCCGGGAAACATTATCCAGTAATAGCCCTACATGTTGTTTGTGGCTAGATCTCATTATGCTCATGAGAGAGTCGCCGCATAAGCTGGCTCCCGTGAAGGCCCAGTATGCTGGTTCATGTGATGGTCGACCGGCTTAAGAGGAAAGGCATAAGGAATATTCTCCTACAAAGGAAGCAAGACTAGAACATCTACCGTGATAATTCCATGACAGTTGGCGCCCACTGTGGGGCTTGCGCACGGTGGTGTTGAGTTCTTGGAGGGATCTATCTCAGGATCAAGATGTTCGCGATTGAGCAGATGAAGAAGAGTCGGCATGAAAAAATTGCACCTGATAACCTGGCGTAGGACAGCCTGCAGAGCCGGCAAATTCATTATTTCTGATCAGAGTTATGATTAAGTCTGGAGCTGGCGGTATGAGGTTAAAAGCGAGGAGACTAGGGTTACACCACGTGCAACCGCCGCCTCGAAAGACACCAATACCGACAGGAGTATGATCTGTCCAATCCGCCTACCTGCAGTTTTCGCCGAGACCGACAGAAATAAGATCCATCTAATTTGCATGGCTGCAAGTTCGACCGAGACCGGCAAGACTTTTTGCTGCCATTAATTGAAGGAGTCGGCCCGGCCCGACATGTATTTTTCGTTGTGCCAGAGTCAGATTCGATTACGGCAACCGAAGACAGTGCCTATGCTGGTTAGAAGCCCTGAGGGCATCAACTGATAGCGCATGATGATCGGAGACTGCGAATCAATTTGGAAGTACGTCTGTATCTATGAGCAAGCACGGATCAATCAAACAAGTACTACTTATCATATCAAGTAAAAAGAGGAGAGTTATGTTTCATAATGACCAGAGTCACGTTTGATCTTCTTATAAGATCTAGATGGAAGAAAAGTCAAAGAAAAAAAAGGCCACTACCCAGAAGGGAACACGGACATGGATTCATTGAACCGGCCACGGCTCGGAAGCGGATGTCTCCGCAGACTCACACTCCCCGTTGACCCGCCTCGGCCGGCGTCTGAAATCGCCTCTGAGCTGGCCGCCACCGCTGCAATACACCTCCACAAGCCGCCGCGGCCCATTCTGAGTTGCCGGGCCAGCCCTTCGCTCCTCCACTGCTTTCCCGCGTTGAGTCACCGGACCAGCCTTTCGTTTCCTCCGCTGCCGTTCCGTGCTGAGTCGCCGGACCAGCCCTCCGTTCCTCTACTATAGCCGGCCAAGCCGCTTCACTCCTGCGACCTTAGGTTATCCTCTGCTGCAACCTTCAAGCCGGCTCTGCCGCGAGCAGCCACCGTGGCCGCCTTGAGTCGTCGAATTCCTTCCATCGCGGTGGCCCGCGTCATTGCCTGTTGAGAAGCTCCGGTCCTGTATCCGTTGCAGCCCTGTCTCCGCCTCGCGCGACCGTAAGACGCCGCTTGCACCGGCGAGCCGACCTTCCCATCTTGCCTTCGAGCGCCCCTGTGCGACGTCCTGTGAGACGCAACCAGCGCATCAGTTTCTATCATCTTTAGTGCCCCTGAGCTTCACGGAACCTGGCTCTGCAATTTGGCAAGAGCACAGTTCGGGGATGGACAAAAGTATTACTACAACAAAAGGATAGAGCAATCCAAATGGTCTATACCTGATGATTGAAGGATGACACAACATGACCAGGACGATCCACTTTGAGCCACCGTTTCTCGGCTCCATTACGGACGCACTTCAAGCCGCCGGTGCAACCTCTCACATGCATTTTTTCCTTCGCTATCGAGGCCTCCGCTTGACCCGCCCGCCTCCATTACAGCGTGTTTCATCTCCACCTCCACTGGCGAGTCGACCCTTCGCGTCTAGTCGTCGAGCCACTTCCGTTGCCCTCCACTAACCGTTACAGCACCGTGACTCATCTCCTCTTTGCCAAGGCACCCCCTGCTGGTGTGATTTTGTCTTACTGGTACAAAGCAAAAGAAAATTGGGGGATAATGGAGCAGTGCATGCATGCATGTTGACTCAAAGACTAGTCTGCCAACAATAATGGGTTAGGAGTCCCAGTGGGCAAGGCATTATGCATTACCAGCATCTACGCTCATCTGACAAATCACCAGGTGCTATCCGTTCCATATATATTATTAACACGGGTGAAATTGTTTGAAAACGATTACTCTGGTCTATGATATTCTTTTGCAGGATTATTATTCATCACAAGTATGTCGCGAAGGGGCGTGCACTAATATTATTTTTCCACTAGCACGTTCGTGTCGTGCTACCAGACGGATATGTGCGCAAGTCGCCGTCCCCGCTACATCAACACACGCGATTGACTCATTTTAACTCGCCCGTCCGTGCCGGCTTATAACGCCATGATCGACTCATATGTCTGATCCCGTGGCCGACTCGTCCATCATTGATTTCAGCTTCACCATGGTGATCATCAACCTCGCGGTGGATAATTTCTGGCTTAACATATCAGGTGAAATCCATCCAGTATATTTTTATATTATATATTGTTTTCTTTAAAAGAGCAATTATGCTGGCTTGCAAGTTCTCCAATGCAAGACAAGTTATATCACTAAGCTATTGAAGGACTCATACCGGTTTGTAACACAGTCAAATATGGAGAATCTCAACACAACTTCTCGAGTCGTCTTATGACTCGGGGGCTACACAGATATGACTGGCAAAATTGGCCGGTTTTAGTGAATTCAAGAACTCCGGGTCATTTGAGGGAAATTAACCCGGCCCCGGAGGCTAATGCCTATTGGTGAAAAATTTAAAGGCCGTCAAAAGATTTCCGGCTCATAAAATGGCCTGACAATTATAAAGTTCTGGCTCAATGGAAGAGCTCCGGGTTATCAGGAAAAGATTCCGGTTCAAAATACGGCTCAAGGGAAATCTGTTTTCTCGCAAAGCTTTGAAGCTCTCAAATATCCGGTTTAAAATTCCGGTTCAAAGAAGTCATCTCTCGCAAAGTTCGAGTTCTCAGAAATATTAAAGGTTGCCAAAGATAAATTGCTGCCATGATGCGTGGTTCAAACATGGTATCCTGCCTTACGGCTTATCTTATTATGGTCACTTGGGGGCTTTCTGCTCATCGAGTATAGCTGTCGGTACCCTCTTGATCGGCGCAATGCCAGATCTTATATGGTCACTTGGGGGCTTCCTGTTCAAACATAGTTCGTATTCGAACCAAAGAGAACATAGATGTCGGTACCCTCTTGATCGACACAATGCCAAACCCACTAGGGGGCTTCTTGATCGTATTCGAATCATAGCTTAACCCCTTTGGGTTCGACTTTGATCGTATTCGAATCAGAGTCGTTAAAAACTCTCAAGGTCATTTGGGGGCTTCCTGTTCAAACATAGGTCGTATTCGAACCAAAGAGAACATAGCTGTCGGTACCCACTTGATCGGCGCAACGCCAAAACCACAAGGGGGCTTCCCGATCGTATTCGAATCTAGCTTAACCCCTTTTGGTCCGACTTAATGATCGTATTCGAATCAGAAGCCTCGCTCTTTTCTCTCTGTTTGGCTTAAGTTTTTTGAAAACAATCTTTGGTTTTGTCTTGAGACCTTTTTGTTCATATCTAAAGCATATATGTGGTTTCGATTAACCCGGCTTGACTTTGGATGATAAGTCGCCATATATGACAATCATAAACATTTGGAAGTTTTGGCTTCTAAAGATTGGGTTATCGCCCTTAGTTCACAGGTTTCCTAAACCGGCAGTACGATTCAATATCACAGGAACCGGTTTTCCAAACTGGATTATATTTTTCAAATCTTTAATAGCCAACATGGCTAGATTTTTATTATGGTTATCAATAACCAATATTATGATTGAGGTTTTCAAAGTCGCTTCAGTGCAATGGATATTATTTTATCAATGGATATAATTTATTCTATAGTGGAAGGAATAGTCCCGAGTCGCTGCAGGCTTACGACCCGGCACTTGGGGGCTACATTATTCAAATTGAGATTACATCAAATATGCAAGTCCCATGTCACTTCCAGCATGCATCGTGGCACTTGGGGGCTAATGTAAAGTCATTTTTTGATCAACTTATTGAAGATCCGACTCATCTCATTGTAATGAGCCGGCCCTTGGGGGCTACCAATTGCTCCTATCAAAAAATCAAGGTACACAAGCCTCAGTCCATTATATTGAAAGATCCACTACTCAGTTGGTAGAATACAAAGCTCTTAACCTTGTGGACGTGGGTTCAAGCCCCATGGTGGAGATTACATCATATGATGTTATTATCAATGAAGAATATACAAAGTCCCAACTCAGCAATATCTTACTGAGACGTCCTTTGGGGGCTACACGTTGCTAGTCAAGTTTACATGATCATATTTACAAAGTCCCTGCTCATTATTGCATAATGACCCAGCCCTTGGGGGCTACACTGGTTGAAGTTTTTATAAGTATAAGGCAATTACAAGTCCTAGGTTGCTGCAAGCATGACAACCCGACACTTGGGGGCTACATATGTGGAATATGCAGTTTATGATTAGTGACTGAGATAAACAAAACTGGATTTCTTCAAAGTTGCGGCATTTATATTGAAGCAAGTCTTAAGTTATCATTTTATTCTCTTCTTAAGACTTGGGGGCTACAAGTGATATGCATATAAAGGAGGAACATCTTCAAATTCTCAGTTTTGAGTAAATCAGGAAGATCAATTGTGTGAACCGACGTTTGCTACAGTCGTGACCCAGAATCATCAGTTTTTATAACCCGGTGATTTTTGGAAATCATAGCTCGGCAAGTTCTACATTTTCAATGCGGCTAAATATCAGTTGAATATTTGAAGACCAATATTTTTGTCAAGTCAGAGCATTGAAGACCGACTCCAATGGATTCATTATTTATAATATTTCTTCTACAAGTAAGTTGATTATGAAGCCGGTCTATTAACCCGGATTTTCTAGAAGGAGGAAATGACAAGGACTTAAGGATGATCAGCTGCCGGCTTACAAAATATTTAACCCGGAGCACAACCTGTCAAATTTGTTCTTGTGTTTATATTGCAGATTAGTTTAACATGGATAAATCCAAATTAAACTGGGAGCTAATGTCGGTGATATAACCCACGGTGTAACCCGACTGGATGTGTGACCCGGATGGATCTTGGCGACTCATTGGTGAACCGCCCGGAGCTTGGCGACTCACGGGTAACCCGCCCGATCCTGGCGACTCATTAGTAACCCGGCGGGCGGGTCAGATGGACGACAAGGCCCAAGGCCCAGTATGCTGGTTCATGTGATGGTGGGCTGACTTAAGAGGAAAGGCATAAGGAATATTCTCCTACAAAGGAAGCAAGACTAGGACATCTGTCGTGACAATTCCACGACATGCCCCGAAGGTGCAGAGTGTTTCAGAATACCCATGCGGCCGAATAGACCGGGGTATGCATGGAAACCAGGCGTAAAGGTTAAAGTTGCTTGAACAAACAAGTTGTATTCGGCTAGTTATGTTATATTACATTAAAGTTGTAAGAAACATCTTCCGGAGAGAATAGTTCCGTTAAGGGTTCCTTTCCCTGGGTGTGCATGCGCTACAGTGCATGTCTGAATTGTGATTAAAAAAATCGCAATATATATATATATATATACATACATACATACATACATATATATATATATATATATATATATATATATATCTTCTGGGTGTTCGCAATGGAGCGAATGCAAAAAACATCTTTAATCCACAGGCCGAATATTCCCTTAAGAACGCTAGCTTTCGGCTTCACCCAGTCTGAGGTACACATCCAGATGACCCGGCAGTAACAATCGCAGAGGTGCTCCCTTTATGCCCTAGCCGAACTAATGGGAACGTAGGGCATAAGCACAGGAGCCAGGCAACCCAGCTTGGCCCAAACTTAAATCATATCGATGCATATAATGGCGAAGAAAAGGTACATATGGGAAAAACGCATATGTGATGAGCTAGATGCTCGGATAATAGCAAGCTTCTGTACAAGAAGCCCTTGGGTATAATGGACGTACATATTTGAAAGCATATGTGTGCATCAGGGGTGCACGGTCTAACCGCGCGAAAGCTTTAAGGCTAAAGAGAAAAACGAAAAGAGAGAGAAAGATGAAAAAATGTATTATGGAAACAGCAGGGAGAAGGAGACGAACAAAGAGTTCGGTGCTTAGGCGTAGAATCTTCGGAGTCTGGTCGCGCTCCAGGGGTTCGGCTCGAGGCAATTATCTGACGCGTCACGCACGCGGTACGCTCCTCCGGTGAGAGCTTCGTCGATGATGAAGGGACCCTCCCATTTGGTCTTGAGTTTGTCCTTTTTCTTCTCCGGCAAGCGTAGAACGAGTTTGCCAACGTTATAAGTTTTGGCTCGTACTTCTGTGCTTTGATATCTGTGGGCCTGTTGTTGATAAAATGCGGAACAGGCTTTTGCAACGTCATGCTCCTCCTCCAGGGCGTCTAGGCTGTCCTGCCGATCGAGCTCGGCCTCTCTCTCTTCGTACATGCGCACCCGAGGTGAGTCATGTATAATGTCGTAGGGTAGCACAACCTCTGCACCGTACACCATGAAAAAAGGTGTGTATCCAGTAGTGCGATTGGGCGTGGTCCGCAGCCCCCAGAGTACGGAGTCAAGCTCCTCAACCCAGTGTGTGTCTGATTCCTTCAAAGAGTGCACTAGTCTGGGCTTTATGCTGCTCATAATAAGACCATTGGCTCATTCGA